GTCACGAACACCATCCTGGTCAAGTGGTCTGTAACATAGCCCTACTGCTAGATTCTTATTTTTCAAGCATGGAATTACTATCCATACAGATTCTATAGTACAATTTTGTTCATTTAAGATTTTTACTTCATTTGATTCTACGCTTTCTTTCACATATAGTGCCACTCCCCCACCAGCACAACCTGTTCTGTCCTTCCGATATATTTTGTACCCTGGTATTACTATGTCCCATTGATTATCCTCATTCCACCAGGTTTCTGTGATGCCTATTATATCAATATCCTCATTTAATAGTAGGCACTCTGGTTCACCCATCTTATTATTTAGACTTCTAGCATTGGTATATAAGCATTTTAAAAACTTGTCATTTTTTGGCTGTCCCCTATTGCATGACTTACTAAAGTCAAGATATATCACATCTATGGCTTCCCGCGTCCAAAAGTCTTGTTACTCTATCAAAGGAGGATTTTAGGTTGGTTTGATGTGGTTTCTTGACAAATCCATGTTGACTGTTACTTATCTTCTTATCTTCTTCTAAGTGCTTACAAATTGATTATTTATTCCACTATCTTTCCGGGTACCGAAGTTAAGTGTCTGGTCTATAATTCCCTGGGTTTTCCTTATTCCCCTTTTTATACATAGATACTATATTTGCCCTTTTCCAGCCATCTGGGATCTCTCCTGTCCTCCATGAATTCTCAGAGATAATTGCTAATGATTCAGAGATCTCTTTGGACAGTTCCTTAAGTATTCCATAATGTGTTTGCCTCCTTGAAGACATTTAACTTGTCTAAGTAATTCTTTCCCTATTTCAGCCTCAAGTCCTGCTTCATTTACACTGTTCACTTTGTTAGTTGTCCAAACCCTTTTGGTGAAAACCGAAACAAAAACAGGCATTTAAAACTTTGACCACTGTTGCGTTTTCTGTTATTGTCTTGCCCTTCACATAGAGTAAATGGGCCTACCCTGTCCTTAGTCTTCCTCTTGATTCTAATGTATTTGTAAAATGTTTTGTTACACTTTATGTCCATAGTTAGTTTAATCTCATTTTGTGCCTTGGCCTTTCTGATTTTGGTGGTTTTTATATTTATCCTTAGTAATTTGACCTCGTTTTCACTTTTATATGACTCATTTTTGAGTTTCAGGTTGTTGTAGATCTCATGATTAAATCAGGAGTTTAATGATGATTGAGTCTAATATGATGGAATCTAACAGACAGTGCTAGAGATCTTTCTTTGAATACCTGTAGGGATTACAGGGACTATCCTGTGATAGAGGGAACCCTACTAATGAAAGGAAAATGAGATTAATCTGAACTGTCTGTCACTTAACCATGAGAGTAATTAACCATTACAACAATTTACTGAGAGTTGTGGTGGATTCTCCATCACTGACCACTTTAAATAAAGAGTGGATATTTTTCTAAAAGATGCACTCTAGGAATTATTTTGAGGAAGTTCTTTGGGCCTTTATTTTATACAAGAGGTCATACTAGATGATCACAGTGGTCTCTTGTGGCCATTGAATCTATGATTCCACGGAGAACATCTGAGAGGGTGGTCAAATCTTGTTTCCTCACCCTGAAAATTCAGTTTTGTAAACAAAGTTAATTTCTTCTATAAACTTAGTGTTTTGTTTTTTTTCATGCGCTGGTCCCTATGTCTATTCAATATATGGGTACGCAGGTGCATCATACACCTAAAACTGGAAAATCTTGCAAGTAATATCTGTTGGTCTGTGCCAGCATCGTGGATTGTCTCATGCTAAGCACCCACACTATCCTCTGCTTTTGAGTCCAGTCCTTCTGAGGGACATTTTCAGCCCAGAGGAGGATACTATCTCAAGGAGGAATTAAATCCCTTTTCTGACCGCACGCCAAAGCTTCCTTCCACTGACACTGACAGTACCTCCAGTGGAGACTGACCCAGCCTTCTTATCAGCTGAATCTGATGTCCTGGATGAACCACCACCCCCCAGAGAGGTTAGCCCAGACAGGGCTTCAGTAGTTTTGCTGGACCCCATCCTCTGCCCAAGCAAGGGATCACTGATATCCTGCTTTTGGGGGCCTTGCCCCTCCCCCCCAAACCAGCTTTTGTGACCCTTCTTGCTGGCCCTATTGGAGTCCATGGGATCCTTATGCACAACACCCAGGACCTATGCACTCTACCAGAGAATTACTCTCCTCCTAGGCAACAGCAACTGGCTGTGCAGGAGTATGTGGAAGAGGAAGACGACAAGCTGGATATGCCAGTACTGGACATACCAACAGGAGTATCTTTCTCACCCATTGAGGCAATTACTCCATCTTCACCATCCCCACCTGATGACCATAAACAATATCAATAATTGTTGCAGAGGATGGTGGCAATACTTCAGATCCCATTAGAAGTTAAGGATATACAGCACAAGCACTTGGATACCCTGCAGCCTATGGGACTCAGTCAAGTAGCTCTCCCAGTGAATGAAACTATTATAGAACCAGCTAGAGTATATGGCCTACACAAGCAATGTGTACCCTATTCCCCTAAAAGGGCTGAGAAACATTATTTTGTGTAAGCAAAAGGGACAGAATACTTGTTCACCCACCCTGCCCCAAAGTCCCAGGTAGTGCAAGCAGCAAAGGAAAAATCCAGGCAGCAACACACTAAAACAATTCCTGTGGACAACAGAGTGAAACAGCTGGACCTTCCCATGTCCACAGGGTTTGTTTTTGGGTGTTGCTGCCTGGGTCTTTCCATGGCTGCTTGTACTACTAGTGACTTTGGGGCAGGGTGGGACATTATGGAGTTCAGTATCTCTATCTATGAGGCCCTGTTAGCGGCATATGACTTTGTGAACTACTCATAGTTCCTGGAATTCAAAGACAAACTCCCCCAGGAGGAAAGGGCCTAATCCCAAACCCTTGTTAAGGAAAGTAGAATCGTGGCTAAAACCTCATTGTAAACTGCAGTTGGCGCAGCTGGTACCCCATCAAGATGTATAGTGACCACAATAGTAATGTGGCGAGAGTTGTGGCTTCATCTTTAGGGTTCTCCAGACAGGTTCAGAACTCCACTGAGGACTTGCCTTTTCATTAAACCAATAGCTTTAGGGAGAAAACAGATGAATTTTTGCACTCACTTAAAAGACTCCAGGACAACTCTCTGCTCCCTGGGCATTTATATCCTAGCCACAAAAAGGAGGTGTCATTAACAGGTGTATGAGCCAAGTCCCTTCTGCAGTCTTTCTACCACCGAAGACCATAAAAATCACCACACAAGCATTAGAGCATGCAGAGCCCAAGATATGCAGTCCCATCCACCAGAGGCGGATTAGGGTTTGTGGGGCCTTGGACTAAAGCAAGTCGTGCCATCTCCACCTGTTTCCAGAGTCTGCTTTGGTGGCCAGCTTGCATATTCTGTGCACAACTGAAGGGCTATAACAATGGAAAAGTGGATACTAGACATCATCCACTTAGGCTACACCATCAAGTTTCTTTCCTCGCCTTCTAGAAAACTCCCTTCCAGCCCCTCTTCAAGAACCATTCTTACAAGGAGCAACACCAACAGAAGGTGGACTCTTTCCTGGTTCAGGGAGATATAGAGCAAGTGCCACCTCAGGATCAAGAGAAAGGGTTTGCTCAATTATTTTGTAGATCCCAAGAAAAAGGGAGAATGGAAGCCCATTTTTAACCTATGTCAGCCAATTTATTTATTTATTTATTTATTTTTGCAAATTAAAATTCTGCATGGTTATGCTGGCATCAGTAATTCCCTTCTTGGAGAAAGGCACATGGTTTGCAGCCCTTGATGTGAAAGGTGTTTTCACCCATCCCACAGAAGGTTCCTCAGTTTTCTTGTAGGACAGGAACACTACCAGTTCAGAGTACTCCCGTTTGGGCTGGCAGCAGTACCCAAGAACTTTCTGAAGGTCTTTTCAGTGGTCGCAGCACAGATGAGATAAAATCACTACACTGTCTTCATGTACTTGGACAACTGGCTTTTAACAGGCAGATCATATCTGGAAGTTGTCGACAACCTTTTCCTTGCACCACTTCCTGGCATACTTGGGAATGTGCCTAAACATGGAGAAGTCTACTCTGACTCCCAAGCATCTCATAAACTTTATAGGGACGCCCCTGGACTCGACCACAGTGAGGGCCTACTTCCCAGCAGACAGATTCCATACCAGGAGCAGTCTGATTAAAAACAAGTCACTCACAAACCCCAAACAACAGTCCAGGTCCATCTTTTTTTGCTAAGCCACATGGCCTCCTGTACTTACATAATTCCGTTCACCAGGCTACATCTCCGTTGTCTGCAAGCCTGGCTCAGGGCAAGATATACATCAGACAGACATAGCACAAATACCGTAGTGACAATCTCCATCAATGTCAGTGCTTCACTTACCTTTTGGACAAACCTGAAACACGTGTATTGGAGTCCCTTTTCTGCCTCCCACACTCAACGTGACAATAATCACGGATGCATCCCTCATAGGTTGGGGAGCTCACATGAGCAGTCACAAGATATGTGGACACCTCAGAAGGCCAGGATGCATATCAATCTCTTGGAACTAATGGCAGTCAGACAAGCCTACAATGCATACGATCCCAATGTGCCTAGATAATGTCAGACAACATGACGACCCTCTTCTATATAAACAAACAAGGTGGGGCAAGATCCACTGGCCTCAGGTACCTGGTGCACATGCATACCCACATGTGGAACACAGATAGGGACCATCCATCTCAAAGAACCTCCTTTTATAGGTAAGTCACCTCCATTTTTGCTTTTTTTCCCCCAAATATATAATTATGCCAATATATGCACTCTGTCAAAAGTAAAAATACAAGAATTCTAAATATATTTATCTAGTTCTGCAATTTCAAATCTTTCCCAAGGAGACTATGACCAAAAGGTTCTCATTTAGCTGCGGAGTAATTGGATTTGGCAGACTAACAGTAAAATTGACAGAAGATTAATTTTCTTTTACTTAATTTTTTTCTCTCATGAATTCAGGCACTGGAACAACATTGCAGAGTAGATGGTGGCTATTCTGGAATTAGAGATGTTTATAGCAACCATCAAAGCCATGATGATGTGCAGCAGAGTTTCTTCCTTTCAGAGACCCTCAAGTAAGTTAGCAAGGAGACTTAATTTATATTAATGAATCTCTACAGATCTTCTTTACAGATGAGTACTTACCATTAGTAGTCTTGACATTCAGGTAATCTAAATCTGACTGGAACAATATGCAGCTTTTGTTATGTGGCAGGAAGACAGATTGCATTTTTATTAATAAACTGAATTCTGTGACTTTTGGAAATATCTTTACCTCGGTTAAAGACATTTCATACTTACTGTTAAGAAATTACATCTTGCAATTTTGATAGGATCTAGTTATACATGCCAATACCAATACCACTGTTTTACGAGACAAGATGGTGAGATTGTCCTCTTGTACTGAATACTTTTTATGTTAACTATGGAGCAGGAAAAAAACAACTAACTTTTATGGTAAATTCATACAGCCTTGATAAGAGAACAAAGAAGGGGCCCTCCTTCTCTCCTCAGCTTTTAATGAAATAAAGGAAATCTTGCATCAATCTTTTTTTCCCCCATTTCTTTCTATTCTTTGCAACCCAGCCTTGTATAATAACAATGTAATCATGCAGTTTCTACTGAAAGTGTATTTCCCTAGTGGGTTTTTAATTTTGTGTCCATATATGTGGGATTTTTTAAGAGCATAGTGTACAATCTAGTATTCTGCCTCCATAATACAGTCCTTTAAGTCATCCATGTAAGGATTTTGACCAAACAAAATTTTTATGGCTTCTTGGAGATTTTGCTGTCAACTATCGTTGAGCCAACAGGGTTTCTAATTATATTAGTTGTAGTAACCCAGTCTAAAACCATGCTCCAAAACACACTTTTGTGAAAGAATAAAAAAAAAAAAAAAGCCACGTAACTGTCAAACACCCTTTTTGACAATCTTATGCATAGGGAGGACTGAAAAGATCAGCTTTTTCTGAAGCCTAGCATCTCCCACAGTTTTCCTTCATATGGGCTATTCCCTTCCTGTCTGCTGTTTCTGGAGGCAGTTCAAAACTGTAGCATAGCCTGTGCTAGCCACGCTCCTTTCTCCAGCCTGCTGTCAGATCATCTGCCTCCACAACAGCAGTCAGTGGAGGTTCCCTTTGTTTCCAAACTTTCCTTTGCCTTCGTATTTTTGCTTTGTTTTGTTTTCGGGCTGTACTGAGCACCCTTCTTTGGCCTGGTCTACGCTGGGGAGGATTGATCTAAGAATGCAACTTCAGCTACGAGAATAGTGTAGCTGAAGTCGACGTATCTTAGATCGAATTAAAATTACTTACTTCGCGTCCTCGCGGCGCTGGATCGATGGCCGCGGCTCCCCCATTGACTTTGCTTCAGCCTCTCGCACTGCTGGAGTTCAGCAGTCGACGGGAGAGCGATCGGGGATCGATTTATCGCGTCTACACTACACGCAATAAATCGATTCCCAATAGATCGATCGCTGCCCGCCGATCCGGCGGGTAATGTAGACGTACCTTTTGTTCTCTCCTCCACTCCTCCTCTTAAACCAGGTATTTAGCAGCACATGGCTGAAGCCACTTGGAGTTCTCTTTTTCCGGAATGGTACAGCAGCCACATGAGCACTGGACTAAGCCTAAAAGGTGCACCATCTGTGAGGCAGCTTTAACAAGCTTTACAGAGGGCCTTGCCTGTTCTCAGCCAGCCAGCCCTAGCACAGCTAGGATTCAGAGTTTTGAGTCAGACAACCATGTTGGTACCCCATCTCCTCAAGAAACACAGAAAAGCCTGATCAGGGGAAACAACAGAATAGGCAGAGGTTGTAAGGATGAGGGAGGACTTTATTCAGATGGCCAAGAGGGTAAGTCCTGGGACAATTCAGGACCATAAGGATAAGACACTAGTAGGGCTTCCAGTCCTACCCCAAGTCCTGAAATGAGTCCTAAGTGCTCTCGGGGTGCAAGCAAGGTTTACAGTCAGCCCCACCTTCCTCTCAGCTTGATTCAGAAAACTAGCAGTGAATTCCCATCCCCCAACCTGGGGGAGTGGGAGTCTACACGGGAGGACTCCCAAGAGAGAAATTTCTAGAGGACTCATGACCCTGCGCAAGGCTAGCCACAAAAGACCCCATCCAGGGCACAGCCCGCTGGCCATGCTTGCAAAGCACGTAAAAAAAATAATTAAAATATCCAAAAGAAATTAAAGGGTGGTAAGAAAAAGTACAAAAAACCAAATAGGTATTCATCCTCTGACCCAGACACCACCACCTCTACCGAGGATGGAGAGCTATTATCAGACTCTGATTATAAGCAGGACACAGACAAAATGCAACAAAGTTTTCTCCCCTGCCCCCCCTTGAGAAGCTTGAAGCCATGTGTAAAAAGATTGTATCCATGATTCAGTTTCAGCCTAAGCATGCCCTCAAGCCTTAGAGCAAATACCTCCCTTCCAAATCATGTCCTTAGGCAGCAATTCCCCTGCATGCATCCTTTGAGGAGGTAATCTGGGGGAGAGGGAATCTCCTGAAAGGAGTAAATATGTTAACAGCCATGTTCTCAACTTTACAAGCTTCAAGAGCCGAAGAATGCTCTCACAAACGTACTTAAGGTTGATGCTGCCATAGCTTCTCTAGCAAAGGATATGGTTATTCCATCCAAAGGGGACTTATTCCCCAAGGATCCAACAAATAGGAAGGTGGAAGCCAACCTGAGAGCAGTGTCATGGCTGGAGGACCTTAAAGCCCTTGCAGGCAGAGATCAATCCAACTTTACATCTATACAACATCATGCATGGCAGATACGTTAGTGGATGCTATGAGGTTTTCTGCCAAGGCCATGGCATCCAGCTCAGTACCCAGGAGATGCATATGACTTCCTACCTGAAAGATAGATACTCACTCCGAAAAAGTCCCGTGCTCATCTAAAGTCACAGGATTTTTCCTCTTTGGAGAAAAATTGGACAAAATAGTGGCTGAAAATGCTGCCAAACTTTCAGTTCCTTCCCCTCTCCAATTAGTGCTCTAAGAGGGGACTACAAACCCACTGGGTCAACATTTTACTTGAATAGTTACAGTATAAGCAAGGACTCACTGCACCTAGTTACTTTGTTGGCATTGGAATCACTTTTATTAATTATTTTTTACAAGTTTTTACACAGCTTTGGAATGAATCCTCTGGCAGCAGACTGGAGAAAGGAGCGTGGCTAGCACAGGCTGTGCTACAGCTTTGAATTGCCTCCAGTAACTGCAGACAGGAAGGGAAGAAATTTTCCATTTTATTAGAAGGCAATTGAAATCAGAATGTTCCAAAGCTATTCTAATAGGTTTTATAATATATTTTTAATGTTTTTGTTTACTTTAAACAGTAGCACTGGTTCATTTAACCAGGTACTTTAAAATGAGAAACATACCTGACAGCTTACAAATATTCTGATTGCCATTGCTTTCTAAAGGGAAAGCTGATCCTTTTGGTCCTTTATAGCCTTGGGAGCCTTGCGTACACTGTTCCTGTCACCAAGGAAGTTCCACCTGTGTTATCAACATTGGGAAACCTTTTCAGACAAACCCTAGTGTAGACACAGCCAATGTGGCAGCCTCAGCTGAAAGTGGCAACTGCACTATGCACTGAATGACAAAGGTGAAGGAAGATATAGGGATTTCTAAAAACTATTTTGATTATATTTTGCTATACAACTTTGTAATTTGAAAAATGTAAAGTACAGAGGTAATAATTAAAAAGTTAGCATTTGCCAACAGTTCCCATGCAGTGAAATTTGAGTGTACAATTTATATCTGTACTACAGTGTCTCCAAGAACTCGGTGTGTAACAGTGAGTAAATGTTGTTTTTAATGGTGATTATTATATTACTGTTAATATATTCCTATTTAGTAAACATTTACCCATGGTATTGTTCCAATCACTGTTTTTTATTTAAATATCATGCCTTGAACCAAATCATGCTCTTATGAGTAAGGCAAACAGGATTTGACATGCAGTACATGCACTCAGTTTTCTTTTGATGCATGTGGTAATTTATAAAAGCTTGTCGTGACAAAAAAGAATGAAACAGAAAAGGAAGTGCTGTTTAACTTTAAGAACCTAGACTTTATATCTTTGTTATTTATCAAAACAGGAATTTTTACATCACCACCTGCTACTGTCAAGCCTTGAAGCCAATTTTAATTAAGTAGTCCCAATGCTTGGTGCCAAAACATTAGTAAATGTCACTGGTTGATAATGTTTTACATTAGATCTGCTACCTAATATTTCCATCTATAGAAGTGGGGCATTAATATTTATCTGTGAAAATGAATTAGTTCCATCTTTCTCTTCTTTAAAGCTGAGGTTATTTCATGGTGCCGTCATGTTACCTGTTTTCTCTTGCCAGGTACTTATACTTACTCTTTTCTGAAGATGATCTTCTTCCATTTGAACATTGGATCTTCAACACTGAGGCTCACCCTCTACCAGTTCTTCACAGAGATGATGGGAAGAAGGAAGAAAAACACAAATAAACCAATGTTAAGTTAATTTTCATTCCTTAGAAGTTTCTTTCCAATATTGGGCACACAATGCAGTTTTACTTAAATTCCTGAGATATTTTGAGTTTTAAGCCAGCTGTTTTGCAGTCTGTTATATTTGCCAGTAAATATTTATGAATGGACCTAAATTCATTACAGCAAAACTTTTAATCTTATTTTTCCAGCTGAACCACTTTCTTTTTTTTTAAGAAATCTGACGTCTCTAGATTTCATTAAGCTGCAGTGTCATCTTTGCCAAATAGAATAGAGGGGTCTGCATGTTACTTGTTTCCTATTATACTTTTGATTTGACTGCAAAATTCTTTCCTCCTCTATGAGGAGATGTCTGCTTTAAGCTGTAATATTTTGCCATGTTGCAAAAAGCCATAAAGAATTAAGTATAAAGAGCTTTTTTTTTCGTTCTATGTTAATTTTTTTTGTCTGTCTGTCATCTGAGACAAATCTTGTAACTGTGACAGCCTCTTCTTATGCGGGTCTATCAATTAGTAAAATATCTTCTGAAATTTTTAATTATCAATGAAGTCTACGTAGGAATAGTTTCATCTCATGCAGACACAATTCTGTTTAAAACTGCAGTGTACTTTGAATTGAACCTAAACATTTTTACAAATCCATTACATTAGTTGGACAGATCCTAGTTTTTATTAAAACTCGCCTTTTTGTTTTTGTTTTGTTTAGAATATCACTGCAAACTGAATTTTCTTCCATTTTCTAACTAGAGTTACTATCACTTCTATAATCAGTTTGGTATGAGCAAAATAAACAATTTGAAAAACTGGCAATATTGAATTATTAAAAAGGGAATCGTTTCTTATTTATAGCTATTTACGTAATCTGTTAGCTTTTTCATTTGACTGGATGTGTGAGATAAATGAGATGTTATGAAATTCTTTCTAAAGTTAGGCTGCGAATTATTCCAATCAGAGAATGAGAGATGATTTTTTTAATCTGCTGTGATCTTACTTTTCAACAATTCCATTTGGTTTAGATTGTGACCTAAGACAGTCAGCTGGAACAAAGTAGTTTAATATAGATTATCAGAACCGGAGTTCTGAATAGCTCAAAGGAAACTTGTCTTCTTAAAAAAAAAAAAAAAAAAAAAAAAAGATTCTTTGCATTGGAAGATGGAAATTGACCGGCATACAATTAGTACATTTTGGAAGCCCAGAACAAGGATGACCAAAGTTATAGAAATACAACATGTTTAAAAGTATTCTTCTGACATAAGGCCTAGATTACCAAGAAAAGTTACTTTTAATGGAATCACCAAAGGGAGAAATCAGGCACAATTCCTTTTCTATTGAGATGTATTTTGGAATAGTTTACATGAGTAATTCATATGGATATTAGGAACTTAACTTTTGATTCGCAGACAGGATGACTGTACTGTATGTTCAGAGTAGGGTGTGACCACTGGCTTCCCAGCATGAAAAAGCACACTATTAGGTGATGTGACTGCAAAGAAGCCAACATGGTTCAAAACAGTAATTCTCAATTTTCTTTTAAATAAGTGCATATGATGACTCAAATATCCTGCTTAGTCGTTTAGGCACTATGGTTCCACAGCCGTAATTAGGTATAAATCTTCTTTCACAAAAGAACAAGACCTTTTTTTCCCCCTTAGTTCTGGAAGTGCTGCAATATAGGTTTTTCAGGTAAAAATTAGGGACAAAGGAAACTTATTACCAGTATGTCCTGCATTTTGAAGCAAATCCAAATAACTTCCTCTGCAGATGCAGAGGGTCCTTTGCAGCCACACGTGTTTGTTGTTCCACTGGATACAGAAAAGGGTGTGTTTCCCATGCAATCTGCCTGGGTGGAGGCAAGGCTGGAGGATCCACTGCTATGCTGATCCTCTCCCTTTGGGGTTTGGTGGGAACATAAAGCCTTTGTGAGGCTATGCATCATTGGGCTGAGCCTGCAGAGAGGACCTGCTGGGAGCTACACAACTTGGGTGTGGAGGGAGTTTCCTGTGCCACACACACATCTGCTTAGTGCCCTGCCTGGCTACTCTTAATCAGCGCTGAGCTCAGGATTTGAGCCTTCATTATCCATATGTCTTTGTTCATTTAACGAATAACAGTGACAAGTAGTCACATTTTTAGGTACCTTGTATTCGATAATCCTGGCTCCATTAAAATGCATGGTAAATCTCCCATTGACTTTAGTGGGCCAGGATTTTTATCGTTTGAGGATAATATTAACTATGTCATCCTTTTCATTATGAAATGCCCCGATATAATACAAGATGTTTTTTAAAGGAATACAAGTCCTTCTAATTTTGGAGTAAAAACTAATTTTTTTACTTCCTTCCACTCCAAAAAAAAAATGGCAATATTGAATTTTTATCCAATTACTTTTAGTCCGTAAACATCTTATGCTGCCTGCTGTGTAATTTTTGTGTGCGCGCTTCGGTGGGCCTCATTTCTTTTAGTCAGATAATAAAACCAATAAAATCAGAAAAACACAGTTTTTGGAGACATATGTTTTGTTAACTTGGTTTTTACATTTTCTTGATCAGAGTCTACTCCAAATTGGGGGAAATTTATTGTACATACAAATTTCCCTTACTCCCAGCAAATAAAGGTAAAGAATGCAAAATGGTTGTATAAATTGGGTTTTAAGTGTTTAGATATTTAAATTTCATGTTGATTTCCCTGGAATACAGAAATTTTGAAGGGTATAATTTGTCTGGTTTGGGAGTTATGATTTGAAAGAGCACAAAGTTGACACGTGATTCTGTTACTGACAACATATTTGGTATTCAGGTGTACAAACTGCACTGTACTGTACCTTTTGTAAACTATGTAAGTAGACAAGAAGATTGTACAACATGTAGAATCTGCCAACTGTAAGAATACCCTATTTTGTAAGTTCAGGAATATTGATTTTTTTAAAAAGAACCCAAAATACACCAAAGTGTGAAATGTTCTAGTGATCACCATTTAATCAGTCAGCTTTTACCAACAGTTACCACACAGCTAAAATGGTATTTTCCTAGTACTTACAATATGAAATTAACTGTGTGGAAACTGCTGATTTGAAGACCACTGTATATGTAATAATTCATATGGAAGAGAAACTGCTGAATTTCAAAAAAATGTAAACAGTGTATCCAGTATCTTTGTGAAGACATTGCCTAAATTCTCATTCCTTTTCAGCATATAACAGTTCAGTTAAGTTTACATGTTAAATTCTAAATGGTGAATAATTTAAATGGCACTTAAATTAAGTTGCAGAAACAACAATTGTTTTGATTGTTTGTGGAATTAATATTGCATATGTTTGTTGTCTGACAGTTCTACAATACCCAATGACTCACTATTTCTATGGTGACTTCATCATATGTATTATCCATTTCTATCCATTAAATTGTTTTTGATTTGTACATATTCCATTTAGTCTTTTCCACCTTTATATAAATCTCTGATGTAATGAGACACATAACAGATCAAGATGCTTAATTTTTAAGAACTATATTTGTAAAAATTTCTCTATTGTGAATAAAGTCTTTTAATATATCTGTTCATTTTGTTAGTTTATTCTTTGTTATACTAAGTGGTTGAAGGCACTGTATATTACAAGAATTACAGTATTTCAAAGGCTTGTAAATAAGTGCAGAAGTAAATGCAGTAATCTGCTTCATAGCCCTGGTTGGGACACTGTTCTGCTGAATTCTGATCAGTAGCGCTGATAAATGCAGAATACTGCTAATCACTTATTAAGGTATTGTAATTAATCAAAAAGTATCAATTAATGTCTGTGAAATAGGGTATAGAATTGCTGCTATAACAAAAATCTGTGGACACTACATCAGTCCTATTGAAGAAATATCTATTAGTAACAAAAAAAAAAACCCAAAAAAAAAGCAACAATATGGTAACCAACAGAAAACAAAATAAAAAAAGACACAGGAAATTGGGAGGACAGAGATGACAGGGTAGTCGGGAATGATCTAAAAGGAGGTCAGTTCTGAGAATGATCAGAAGGTGCATGCTGTGGGGATCACAAGCGGACTTCAGCTAGCTCCCATTTAGGAATACAGTAAACACTGCTTTTTAAATGACAAGGCTGTCAGATTGCCCAGTGTTATGTGATCATATAATGAAAGGTTATCATTAGTGTATGTACTAAAGGATAGAGGGACAGTTGTCATGGGAACTGTAACTGCATTTTGCATCTTTTGAGTGAGGGTGATTAAGATCTCAACCTTAATGTTGAATTAACAGAGTTTTTGTTTAATATATTTTAGCTTATTCTTATTTTCTTTTTAATAGAGAGCACCACAGTCAACTCCAAAAACATCCGGTAAGCTAAATAATTCTGAATTTTACAGGACATATTCCTAAATACAGATATCACTTTAAGACTAAAGGCTTCTTAATTTAGACACACTAGTCAATTTAAAAAAAAAAAGTTATTTAAGATAATGCACCTATCTCAAAATCCACTTGCCAATAAATTGTTTTACATCCACATCTTTCTGTTTTTTAAAACGCATTTGTCTCCCTGCTGCTGTCTGACAGGACCACACACATAGGAGAAGGAGGAGACTAACTATGTACAAAGTGCTATTAAATGAAAAATGTAACCTTTATCTAGTGGAAAGTTTAACCAAAAGATTAAATACACTATTTGGAAAACATTTATTTTACAAATATGGATTAAGCCATGTGCCAAGTTGCATTAGAGGAGCAGTGTCTGGTGTTGGGTTTTGGAGGTGTTAAATGACATTGAGTAGATCTTCAAGTCAAGACTGCAAATAGGCAAGATTCATAGCTCCTTCCACTGTATCCATCTAACTTTCCCTTCTATTCTTCCCACTCTACTGCATCCACCAACTCTTCCTTCTCCTATTGTTCTTCCCCTTCGCTCTCTACCTGACCTAGCATGGAGACGTGTCTGTGGAAAGGAGTGTAGCCAAAGAGCGGCTGGGCTCAGGTGATCCCTAGCTAGGGGAACAAACTTTGGCTGCTTTATCTTAAGTTTGAGACTGAACCAGCC